TGGTGAAACGCCAGAACGTCGTCAAGGAAAGCGTCGAAAGGATAAGTAGCTTCCACTTGTGAAAGGGGGGGGATTCTACAGACCCGCCGCGGAGACAAGGCACAAGGTGCCTGTGCGTGATTGGCCCTTCTTGGGGCTCCAGTGGTCACTGGGGACCTACGTCTGGGAACGTCTGAGGATCAGGATCTGGGGCGGCGCTGGAACTGGCCCCGGTTCGAGTTTCTGCTTTTCTTGTTGCTGTTGGTGGTGGTGTTGTTGTTGGTGTTGTTGTCGTCGTTGGTGTTGGTGTTGGTATTGGTGTTGGTGTTGCTGTTGTTGTTGCTGTTGTTGGACTATCACTTCTGGAGAATGATTCTTGCCGAACCCCCCCTCGCCGGTGCATGCTGTTTTTCTCGATCAAAGTGTGCCCCTCGACGTTCGCACCCTGTTTTTTTTCGACGGGGGAAATCTTGGTACTCAAACTGTGCCCCTGGCCCCCTGGACCAGAACAACAACGGCTCCCGCCTGAGACTTCGTCCAAATTTACTCACGACCCCCGCTCCTGAGACTTCCTCATCATTTATTCCGGATCGGTGCTCCCGCCGATGTCTTCCTCGCAATTTAATCAGGACCCCCGCTCCAATCTGAAACTTCCTCACACTTTACTCAGGCACGGCGCTCCCGCTTGAGACTTCCTAGCAATTGAATTAAGACTTCCTCGCAATTTAATCAACACCCCCGCTTCCGCCAGAGAGCCCTTCACAGTTTATTCAGGAATTGTGCTCTCGCCTGTGACTTCCATGCGGTGTGTTCAGAACTCGCGTTTTCGACGCTCAGGAAACACGCTGCGCCAAGGACGCCACTACAATGTACTTCGTAATCGCGCTCTCGCCATACTCAGGCATCCCGCTTGAATGTCCCACCCGCCCGACCCGCCTGTCAGGGGATCGCCCGCCCGTCGTGGGCTCCCGCCCGAGACTTCCTTCAGGAACGGCGCTTTCGCCTAGGATTTCCTCGAACGTTCACGCTCTTACCTTCCTGCTCCTTACCCATCCCTCCTCCTTCCTCTCCTCCTCTCCTCCTCTCCTCCCTTTTCTCTCTCACCTCACTTCCCTCATCCTGATGCCTCTCTGCCCTATCCCCTCTCCCTCCTCTCCTTCCTCCCTTCTCCCTCCCCTCGCCTGCCTCCTTCCTCCGTTTTTTTTTTGTTCTCTCTCTCTCTCTCTCTTTCTTTCTCTCTCTCCCTTTCTCTCTCTCTCTCTCTCTCTCTCTCTCTCTCCCCCCCTCTCTCTCTCTCTCTCTCTTGCTACCGCTCGTATCTGTTTTTTTTTCTCTCTCTCTCTCTCTCTCTCTCTCTCTCTCTCTCTCTTTCTCTCTAGTTATCTCTCTCTCTTTCTCTCTCTCTCTCTCTCTCTCTTTCTCTCTCTCTTTCTCTCTCCCTCTCTGCCTCTGATAAACCGCCTCCCTCTTCGCTCCTTCTCTCCTGGCGTTTTCCCTCTTCCTTCGTCCCTCCCCCCCATCCTCCCATTGCCCTCGTTCTCCCCCTCCTCTTTTTGCAGGGCCCACACCAATTCCAATGGCGGGCACATGTGCGCCCACGAAGGGTTGTCCGCCCGCTCAGGTTCGCCCACCTGTCTAAGCCCGCCGCCCCCCACAAAGAGTGACATGCGGGCAAATAAAAGCGAAGAGTCTTAGAATCATTGTTTTTTTTTGTGTTGAAATCTCATTTCTGAAAATCAATGTTGTTGATCCCCCCATCACCGGTGAATGTTGTTTTTTCTCCATCAAAGTGTGCCCCTCGATGCTCACACCCTGTGTTTTGTTAGGGAAAGTCTTGATGCTCAAACTGCGCCCCTGGCCCCCAGGTTACAACAACAACAACAACAACAATCATTTTAAGACTGTTCGCTCTCACTTGCCCGCGTGCCATGCAACGTGTATACCCACGCCCTCGATACCCGCCCCCTTCTTCGAGCGTACCCCCTTCTGGGGGGATTTTTTCTTTTTGCGGGGGCGGGCGGGCTTGGACAAGCGGGCGTAAACGGGCGGGGAATTATTCGGAGGATGGGGCACGCATCCCTTTGCCCACCATTGGAATTAGCGCGGGCCCTGCAAGAAGAGGAAGGGGGAGAACGAGGGAGAGTGGGAGGAAGGGAGGGGGAGGGACGAGGCTAAAGGGGAACACGCCAGGAGAGAGGGGGCGAGGAGGGGGGGGGGACGATTGGAAATAAAGAGACAGAGGAGGGAGGAAGGAGGAGGCTGGAGAGGGGAGGGCGAAGAGAGGAGGGAGGAGGGTTATGGGAGGAGGGCGAGGGGAGAGAGGAAGAGGGAGGAGGAGGGTGGATATGAGGGAGAGGGGAGGGAGGAGGGAGGTTGGATGGGGAGGAAAGGGCAGGAGGGTAAGAGTGTGAACGTTCGAGGAAGTCCTAGGCGAGGGCGCATTCCTCAAGGAAGAGTTGGGCGGGAGCGGGGGTCGAGAGTACATTGTCGGACGTCTCAGGCGGGAGCGCCGGTCGGGCGGGCGGACCCTGACGGGCGGGTCGGGCGGGCGGGACATTCAAACGGGATTTTTGCGTAAACTGCGAGGAAGTATTAAGCGAAAGCGCGATTCCCAAGTAAATTGCGAGGGCGTCCTTGGCGCGAGCGTGGTTCCTGAGCGTCGAGAACGCGATGCTGCAATAAATTGCAATGAAGTCCGGAGCGAGAGCGCCGATCCTGAGTAAATTATGAAAAAGTCTCGGGCGGGAGCAGGGGTCCTGATTAACGAAGTCTCAAGCGGGAGCGCCGTTTTTAAGTAAAATGCGAAAAAGTCTGCAGCGGGAGCGCCTTCCGGAGTAAATTCTGAGGAAGTCTCAGGCGGGAGCGGGGGTCCTGAGTAAATTGTGAGGAAGTCTTAGGTGGGAGCCGTTGTTGTTGTAGTCCGGGGCCCAACAACGCAATCTGATCCGCAAGGCTTTCCCTGTCAAAAAACAGGGTGCGAGCGCCAGAGGAAGCACTTCAATTGAAAAAACCAATGGGCACCGGACAGGGGGGATCAACAATAATTATTCTTCAGAAGTGAGAGTTCAACAGCTGCCCCCTGAGACTTTCTCACCATTTAGCCAGGACCCCCGCTTCTGCCCGAGACGTCCTCGCATGTCATTCAGGAATTGCGCACTCACCTGGGACTCCCTTGCAATGTACTCAAGAATCGCTCTCCTGGCGCTCTGGAGTCGCGCTCTCTCTAGAGACTTGCTTGCAATTTACTGACGAGTAGCGTTGGAATTTCCTGCAGTGTACTCAGGCGCCGCGCTCCCGACACCCAGGCACCCAGGAGTCGCGCTCACGCTTAGGACTCCCTCACATATTACCTAGGAATCGGGATCTCGCTGCCCTTCGTGGCCCCGTTGCAGCCCTTCGTGGCCCCCTCGCTTTGTTTCGTGGCCCCTTCGTGCCCCCCTCGCTCCTCTTCGTGGCCCCCTCGCTGCCCTGCGTGGCCCCGTTGCAGCCCTCCGTGGCCCCGTTGCAGCCATTCGTGGCCACCTCGCTGCCCTTCGTGGCCCCGTGGCAGCGTCGCTGCCCTTCGTAGCCCCGTTGCAGCCCTTCGTAGCCCCGTTGCAGCCCTTCGTGCCCCCCTCGCTCCCCTTTGTGGCCCCGTTGCAGCCCTTCGTGGCCCCCTCGCTGCCTTTCTTGGCCCCATAGATGTATGCCCTTCGTGGCCCCCCCTCGTTCGCGCCCGTGGTGGCCCCATGTGCATGCCCTTCGTGGCCCCGATGTCGCCGTTTGTGGCCCCCTTAGTGTCCTACGTGGCCCAGTTGCTACCCTCAGTGGCCCCATCGTTACCTTGTGTGGCCCCGCATTATCTGCCCTTCAGGGCCCCCGCTCGTTCGCGCTCCTCGTGGCCCTATACGCATTCCCTTCGTGTCCCCGATGTCGCCCTTCGTGGCCTACTTTTTGTCCTTCGTGGCCCTGCTGTCGTTCTCTCTCGCTCTCGCTTTCGCTCGTCGTCAGCGTCGCCGTCGTCGTTGTCGCCGTCGTCGTCGACGTCTTCGTCGTCGTCGTCGTCGTGGTCGGTGCCCTGTCCGTTCCTCTTGGGGTCGGGTCGACGGTCCGCGGCCACCGCGCCGATCAGCAATGCCGCTGGCCAGGCCGATGGTCCGCGGCCGCCCCGCCGCTTGCCGGGGCCCGGCCTGCAGGGAAGAAAGGTATGCCCCCAAAAGGGGTTCGATCGAAGACGAAGAGGAGGGGTATCGAGGGTTTGGGAAATAAGCGTTGTTGGACACTCGAGCAGATAAGGGCGAACAGTCTTAACTTGATTATTGTTATTGTTGTTGTTGCTATCGCTGTTCATGTTACTGTTGTTGGTGGTGGTGGTGGTGGTGGCGCTTCTTGCGCTTCGCAGACCTTGTTTTTGTTGCTCCTAGCTCTTCTCATCCACCTCCGTCCATTTCCCTCTAACCATGGCTTCCTCGTGTGCACGAACAGATGGCAACGCGCTAGCCCGCGCGAGGAAGCAAACAACAGCAATAGCATGACGACACATACGAATTCGCCAGATTGCCCCGAATTGCCTGATCGTTTGGTCACACTTGCCTGCCTTCCTACAGCAAGCGCATTGAACTCGACGGCAAGCTGATTGCATTCAAGGCGTTTGCGTCGCTAGAAGACTGGGGGCGGGGTGGATAGAAGGGGAGAGTTGGGAGGAGGGAAGGGGCTAGTTGGAGGGTGCGGCGAGCGGGAGAGGGAGAAGGACAACGCGTGGAGCAGGAGGCAGGATTTGCGTCGAGGGGGTCTGACTTGCTCTGGCGGCTGCCCAGCAGGGGAGCCCAGAATCGAATCGACAAGTCGGACCGGCGATCGAAATAAGTCGGATCGGCACAAATCGGCAGCCGAGTCGGGAAAAGTCGAATCGGCGGAAATCGGCAAGCTAGTATGCGTCCAATAAGAAATCGGAGCCCAAATCGGAATCCGAAATCGAATCGAATCGGAATCAGAATCCATCGCAGTCGAACCGAATCGAATCGGAGGATTCGAAACGAGCCCTGGCCCAGAGAGCCTCGCCTGCAAGTCCCCCCGACATTTGGCCCCGGCGCTTTGGCCCCCCAGCGATAGCACACAAAACCCCGAGGCGGACCGTGACCTCCACCTCCTCGGGGCGTCGCGCCGCTCCCGCCCCCCCCCCCCGGGGGAGGGCACCCAAATGATGTTTTGTTCGTGCTTCTCGGCTGCTCTTGTGGGGTCGGGTACGCCCCACTGCTCTTCCCTTTGGCCGGCAAGCGCTCGAAAGATCCCTGGGGAGAGGAGACGAGGACGAGGAGGATGAGGAGGACGAGGAGGAGGGAGGAGGAGGAGGAGGAGGAGGAGGAGGAGGAGGAGGAGGAGGAGGGAGGAGGAGGAGGAGGAGGAGGAGGAGGGAGGAGAGGAGGAGGAGGAGGAGGAGGAGGAGGAGGAGGAGGAGGAGGAGGAGGAGGAGGAGGAGGATGAGGAGGAGGAGGAGGAGGAGGAGGAGGAGGAGGAGGAGGAGGAGGAGGAGGAGGGGGGGGAGGGTAGGAGGAGGAGGAGGAGGAGGAGGAGGAGGAGGAGGAGGAGGAGGAGGAGGAGGAGGAGGGGGAGGAGGAGGAGGAGGAGGAGGAGGAGGAGGAGGAGGAGGAGGAGGAGGAGAGGAGGAGGAGGAGAGGAGGAGGAGGAGAGGATCGAGGAGGAGGAGGAGGAGGAGGAAGGGGAGGAGGGGTGGGGGGAAGGGCGCGGGGGGGGGGGCGGTAGACGTCGACACCCGGACGCTCCCCCAACGGAGGGCGCGGCCGTGGCGCTGCTGAAGGGGCCCTGGGATACACAAATCAATACACACAAATAACAGGATTCCCCATATTTTCTGGAATTTGTTCTCCCCCCCACTTCCCATATTTTCCCATACTTTCCTGGGAGTGGGCGATTAATTGTGTCTGTGTGTTTTCTCCCCTCCTGAGCTGCGGCAGCACGGCGCAAGCCCCGCGCATGCGGTGCCCCGCGCGCACTTGACCTCCAGGCGCGCGCAGAGGGACATCTTCACGGTGGCCACCCACTGGAACCTCGCGGCCGCCAGAGCGGGCGCTTCCAGGCTCGCTTCTCCGCCGGGCAGCTCTGGCCATGATCAGCGATCACAACGGTCCACGACAACGGCAGCAAACACAACGATGACGATAGCGATCCCAACGTCATCGTTGTGATTTGTGATCGCTGTGATCGTTGTTGGGCCCCTGCGCATCTGGAAGCGGCCTGCTGCGCCGAGGAGGACGACGAGGATGAGGAAGCAGGGCGAAGAGCGGAGGAAGCAGGTCAGGGAGAAGACAGCGAGAACCAGGGAAGAGAGGACGCATGGAAAAAGAAAGGGACAAGAACGACTGGAGGCAGGTACGGTGGGATGGAAGAACAAGATGGACCGATGGAGGGGGGGATGGAGCGATGGAGGGAGAGAAGGACTGACGGAGGGAAGTGCAGGAAGCGGTCCGGGGTGGCACGCTGCGGCTACGTGACGCGCTTTCTAAGGCGAGGGAGCGAAACTGAAGACCCTAACTGAGGGGTTGGTCTGTGGTGTCGCCCTAGCCTCCTCCTCCGCCTCCGCTCCCAAGATGGACCTCGGCCTCCTCCCTTCTAACATTAAGTCGGGCCTGTCCCCCTACAAGGGGATATTCGACAAGAAATTAAAAGTACCCCAAACATAGTCAACAACTATTCCAAACATAGTCTGGGGACTACCTTTTGATGTGCCTTTTTGGTATATGTTTAGTTTTTTCTCTCTCTTTTTTTGTTTAAACAATCGTCGAAAATCCCCCTGTAGGGGGACAGGCCCGACTTAATCCTAACAACCGCTGAATTGACATCCTGCGTGAAGGCCCATCGCGCTCCTGCTCCCTCCGTCTGGCCGCCACCGCTGCGGCGCTGCGGGCGCGGCCGCGATGCCAGAAGAGTGTCCGTGTAGGTGATTATGGTATGTTTCTGCCTTCACTATCGAGGAGGAGGAGGAGGAGGAGGAGGAGGAGGAGGGGGAGGAGAAGGTATGTTTCTGCCTTCTGCGCTCTTGCCCGAATATTTCTCGACTGTCGGTCCTCGAAGAAAGCCCATAGGGAGCCTCACGCCCACGGCGCCGTGGCGACGTAGTGCAGCTGCCAGGCGCCGTGCCCGGCGGCTCCGACGGCCGCGCGGCGCCGCCCTCCCCAGCGGCACCGCTGCACTACGTCGCCACGGGCGCGGCAGGAGCGGCCCAGCCCTCTCCTGCCCCCCTCCACCCAAAGGAGGAGGAGGACGACGACGACGACGAGGACGACGACGACGACGACGACGACGACGACGACGACGACGGCGGCGACGATGCCCGCTCGCTGAGTGGAGGACTGCCTCTCCACGCCCCCCCCCCCCCGCACCACGACGGCGGCCCCGCCGCGGACGAGCCCCCCCGCGAGCTCAGCGCCCCGACTTGCCCAAGCGCCCCACGCGGGCCCGAGAGGGCGGCCCACGATGGCCCCCAAGGGTCGCCCCCCCGGGCGGCCAACAATGGCCCCCAGTCGGCCCGAGAGCGCCCCTGCGACGATCGACAAGGCCCCCCAAGGGGCCCTCCCAAAACTGCCCTATCAAGGAGGAGGAGGAGGAGGGGGAGGAGGAGGAGGAGGAGGAGGAGGAGGAGGAGGAAGAGGAAGAGGAGGAGGAGGAGGAAGAGGAAGAGGAAGAGGAGGAGGAGGAGTGGAGGAGGAGGAGGAGGAGGAGGAGGAGGCGGAGGAGGAGGAGGAGGAGGAGGAGGAGGAGGAGGAGGAGGAGGAGGAGGAGGAGGGGAGTGGGAGGAATGGGAGGAGGAGCCGAAGGCGGAGCAACGGAACTCCACAGGAGCCCCCATCGAGAGGTAGAGACGAGAGAGGCCGCCTCACCAGACGGCTTCGCCGGCTCGGTGGCGGATCTGCCGCAGTGACCTGGATGTAGAAAGCAGGGGCGGTTTCTGGGTTTTTGTCTTCCCCACCACTTCCCATATTTTCCCATAGTTTCCTGGGGATCGACGATTAATTGTGTCTGTGTGTTTCTTCCCCTCCTGAGTGAAGCGAGACACGGATACGCAAATGAGAATTCACGACAGCGCTGCAGTGCAGCAGCAACGATCAGAACGGCGAGGAGGCTGGCTTCTCCTTTGTCCCCCTCCCCAGAAGAGCCCAGCTGGACAAGAGGTGTCAAATGGCTTGCTCAGAGTGGTGCCGAAGATCGCTCTGATGCCCTCGTTCGTCCCTTCTCCAAAGACGTCCTCCGCGAACCACGGCATAGCAAGCAGCATGGTGGACACGAGAGCGCGTGGGGAGGAAAGGCATACACCAGCCGAGACAGAGTGATAGGCGGTATATCGATATGGAACGTGTAGGCGAGACAAGATCACTTTAGTCTCGCGATGCCTACGACATCAATCCACATAGACATGTATGAGATGCGCGGCTGGTCTGAAACCGTCCTTTCCTCGGACGGGCAAACCACTCACGTTGCGGTGCGCATGCTGTCGCCATGTTGGCACCTGGTAGCTGAAAATGCGCCTTGGATGCGGGGCGCGTGCGCCAACATGTTGGGGGACATCGACAGGGAGCCAGGGCGAGGCAAAGCGAGACACGGGGAGGGGGGAGGCAGATGGTGCTGACGAGTGGAAAGAGGGGGCTTGGAACTTTGGGGCGTGAGCGATCTTGTCTTCCACATGCGAGGCGCGGCTCGGCCCCGCCCCCTTGTGGCAAAGCCGGCCGAAGAGCATCGCCACGCCGTCATGAGCGGTGCTGTGACAGCGTAGCCTCACGATTGGCGCCGCTGTTGCACTGAGAAGCACCGCGCAGAGATAATGAGGAAGACGGCGCGGAGGAGTGCATGAGGGGCGACGTTGAGAGGGGGGCGGGGCATGCCCATGAGGCATCGAGCTGGCATCGGCGATTCATCGCCGACTGATCGGCGGTAGGACCCCGATAGCAGATCCGCACGGTCCTGAGCGGATTGGGCCATGGGGCCCCTAGTGGGGGAGCGAATCTAAAATGCGTGAGCTCCAAATCTACGACAAACGCTTCGACTTTTCGCAGATCCACTGAGAGCTCTACTTTTTTCCTGTAGATTCGAAAAGAAAAATCCGCCGACCCTTTGGGGTCCACGGCGTGTGAAATGCTTCCCCCTCCCCAAACCCATCCCCCGGGAGCCTGGTTCGGCCGGGGGGGGTGGGGGCGGGGGGCAAAAGTCTCCGGGCTCCACGAGGACCCAGACGGCTCCAAGCAGCCCCAACGACGGCCCAAGAGGCCCCCGAAACAACCAAAGGTCGGCCCAAGTTGCCCAGAATGGCCCCAATACCCCCGGAAGCCTCCCAGACGGCCCAGGAAGCCTCCAAGAGCATCCCCAAGAGGGGCCCCATAGGCCAAAATCGTCGAATTTGTTGGGGTAGCGTGCATTTCTATTATACACGACTTTTCGGCCTTCACGGCGTGGAAGACAACCCCGGACTCCCCCAAGACCGCCCCAAATCGGCCCAAGAGGCTCCCAAGAGGCGCTCGAAACGGTCCAAGAAGCCGCGAAGACGGCCCAAGAGGACCCCAAGAGGGCTCCAATGCGGCCGCGAAAAGTCCCCAGGACAGCCTCCGAGGGGGCGGAACGGCGCAAAAGCGCCAAGACGGCCGAAGACGCCCCGAAGAGGCCCCAAGAGACCTCCAAGAAGCCTCCAAGAAGCCCCCCAGAAGCCTCCAAAAGGCCTCCAAAAAACCCCCCAAACGCCACACAACGACTGGAGTGTAATGTTATTTTCCCCCCTCTGGGCGAACGGCGGCGCAGCGCCAGCCAGGTGGAAATTGGTCATTGCGGCGCCCATGATTAGAGCCGGCGCTGGAAGGGAAGATGGTGAGGGTGTATGAAAAGGAGGGAGTGGGGAAAGGCCCCAAAGAAGTGCCCAAGAGGCCAAAAGAAATCCCCGGGAGGCCTCCAGGAGGCCCCCAAAAGGCTCCCAAGAGGCCCCGCGACGACGTGACAGTACGTGCTCCGGACGTGCACCCCGCGAAACGAAAAGGAATCCACGTCAGGAAGTGACGTGCTGAGCGGCAGCGTTTCCCGCGGATGCTGTAACGCAGTGGATCCAATGTGTCCAATGTTTGCATAATTCCCACATGTTGTATTGTGTTACATTATTATGTCTCCCCCCCAAACCCCCCCCTGCAGTCGCGCCACATGAACAGACCAAGATGCCCCCCCCCTCCTGGGGCTCAAAAACGTACCAGCCAAGACGGCTGAAGATGGGCTCTGTGAGGGCCAAGACGGCCCCGAGACGGTCCAAGACTGCCCCAAGAGGGCCCAAAAAAACCCAATGACGGCCCAAGAGGGCCCCAAGAGCGCCCACGACTGCGCCTTCAGACGCCAAAATCATTGATTTCCGTGCGGTTTGGTAATATTTTAGCGTTCTCGCTTTTGCGGCCCACGCAGCTTTCCAAATCGCCCCAGAACAACCCAACAAGCCCCCAAGAGGGCCCCAAGACGGTCCAAAGAGGCCCCCAAAACGGTCCAAGAGGCCCATATGACGGCGGCCCAAGAGGACCCCAAGACTGCACCAAGGCGGCCGCGAGAGGCCCCCAAGACGGCCTCCGAATGGGCGAAATGGCGCAAAAGCGCGCCCAATACGGCCAAAGACGCCCCCAAGAGGCCCCAAGAGGCCCCCAAGAAGCCCCCAAGGGGCCCCAAAAAGCCCCCTAGAGGCCTCCAAGATGTCCTCAAGAAGCCTCCCAAAGGCTCCAAAGAAGCCCCCCAAAGGCCACACAGCGACTGGAGTGCAATTTCATTTGTCCAACCTGGGCGAACTGCGGCGCAGCGCCAGCCAGGTGGAAGTTGGCCACAGCGGCGCCCATGATTAGAGCCGGCGCTGGAAGGAAATATGGGGAGGGAGTCTGAAAAAAGGAGGCCCCAAGAGGCACAGGGAAGCTCCCAGAAGGCCTCCAGGAGGCCCCCAAGAAGCTCCCCAGAGGCTCCGCGACGACGTGACTGTACGTGCTCCGGACGTGCACCCCGCGAAGCGAGAGGAATCATTCGGAGGTAAATCAATTCCGTAGTCGGTCCCCTACTTGGTGGATGGGCGATCGGGGTCGATGCATCCCCTCCTAAGTCCATCTCCCCCTCCCGCTGGCCTTGAGTGCGCAGCTCCCCCGCACACCTGCGCGCGCTTCCCCGACAGCTGTCCTGAGCCTCCCGGCGCAGCACGGGCCAGTCGGCGTCACCGTCAATATCGTCGCAGGTCGGATCCTCCTGAGGAGGACAAAGAATTCTAAATATGAGGAAGCAAAAGCGGGAGGAAGTATAGGGAGGATGTGGCAATGCGGAGGAGGCCGTGAATATATGCTCGAGAACAGAAAGGACAGGCGCCCCCGGTGTGTTGGCGTGTGCTGTTGTGAAATGTCCCGTAATAGTTTCTAGTGCCGTGCTGCACTATTTACTTTATAATACTGTTCTGTAACATTCTGGGCGCGAGGCGGGGACACTCGGGGACCCTCGGGGGACCTGGGGATCTGGACCTGGGGATCTGGCAGCCCCCGAATGCAGAGTGGCGCGAGGCGGGACACTCGGGGACACTCGGGAGAACTGGGGATCTGGCAGCCGCGGTATGCAGAATGGCTCGAGGTGGGACACTCGGGGACACTCGGGGGACCTGGGGATCTGGCGGCAGCGGTATGCAGGGTGGACGTGTCGGGAGGTGTATAGATACCTATACGACCGCCCTGGGGGCGATAAGGATGTTGGGGGGGATTCAGATCAAATGCCCACCCTGACTGACCTCCAGCCTGCCACCTTGATATCATATCTCTCTTCCACTCTGTCTCTTTCTCTCCCTCTCTGCCTCACTCTCTCTCTCTCGCCCTTTCTCTCTCTCTCTCCCTCTCTACCAGACTCTCCCTCCACCACAATGATGATCGCGATGAAGATGATATCCCGCTGTCTACGTATCTGTGGACCGACCTATCGGTGAATCTCCCTGTCGATCTCACGATCGGTGGATATCATTGTCGATCTCACTATCGACCTCAAAAGCAAAATGAGAAAGTCCGCCGCAAGCGCCGACAAAAATGAATTGATGGATTGGGTTGGGTGGGGTGGATTCGATAAGATGAATTGGATCAGATAATATGGGTTGCGTTGGAAGGAATGGATTGGATACTATAGAATGGATTAGATTGGCCCGCCGCAGGCGCAGAAACAAATGAATTGATGGATTGGGTTGGGTGGATTGGGTTGGGTGGGATAAGATAAGATGGGACACAATGGTTTGGATCAGATGAGATGGATTGGATTGGACAATATGGATTGGATCAGGTAAGCTGGATTGGATAAGAGAGCCCGCCGCATGCGCCGAACAAAATGAACTATGAACTTAACAACACGCGTTAGCGCCGAGCCCCCTTCGGCCGAGCTACAGGAGGATCACGCGCAGCTTCGCCTCGCCCGCACGCACGACACAGACACGAAACCGAAACCGATTTCCCGGTGCGGGGTCTCCGTTTCACTGCGATCTCACCCCCCCAACCTCCGATATATATATATATATATATATATATATATATATATATATATATTATATATATTATATATATATATATATATTATATATTATATATATATAATAATATATATATATTATATATATATATATATATATATATATAACATATATTATACACACATATATATAGACTAGAACCACGCGCGCGCTTCGCGCGCGCTTAGGTTCTAGCTAGGAGGCGAGCTTGAGTCAACGAAAGTCGCAGGGAAGGGGGCAGGGGGAAGAAGGCCAGAGAGCGCTGAAGGATACAAATACTGGAACCCTCTTGTGATTTTGTGGGGGGCCTCGTCCGGCCGCTCGCTGGGAGTTTGACGTAGCTTCTCGGGAGCCTCTGAACCTGTCGGGGGCCTCCTGGAAGCAGGTTCGAAGCATTTTGGGGGCCGATTTGGGGCTTCTCGGGGCCTCCTTTGGGCCTCTTGGGGGTCCATTGGGGCCTCTTGAGGGGCCTCCTTGGGGCCTCCTGGCGGCCTCTTGGGGCGGAACGCTCGAGCTTGCGGTTCGTGGTCCCCCTCTGGGCCCCCTCTTGGGCCCGTCTTGGGGCCCTCTTGGGCCATCTTGGGCGCCTCTTGGGCCGTCTTGGGGCCCTCTTGGGCTGTCCTGGGGCCCTCTTGGAAGCTTCTTGGGCCGTCTTGGGGCGGTCTTGGGCGCCTCTTGGGCCGTCTTGGACGCGGTGAAAGCCCAAGAGGCGAACATGCGAAAAATATACGTTTTCCCATAGGAATGGCACGATTTTTGCTTCTTGGGCCTCTCTTGGGCTGCCTCTCGGAGCGTCTTGGAGGCTTCTGGGACCTTCTTGGTGTCATGACAGGCGTCTTGGAAGGCATCTGAGCCATCGGAGCGCGTTTCCGAAGCCGCCTGCGAACGATCTTGGACGGCGTCCGGCGGTCCGACGAGCCTCCGGCCCCCCGGGGCCCACATTTGTGGTCGGGTCCCGGCCCCGGGCCCCCGGACCCGGTGCGCCGTTATATGTATATATATATATATATATATAATATATATATATATATAAATATTATATATATATATATATATATATATATTATATATGTATGTATATAAAATATGTATTTAAAAATCAAACGACCCCCAACCTGCCGGGTAGAGAGAAATGCTTTAGCAATTTCATCCGGCGTATCAACGCACGACGGTCGCAGCCAGAAGCGTTCTAAGGGCATGTTGTGCAAAACGCAAAGGGTTCTTAGAACATTATTTGGTGGGCCTTATAGGCAGGTCAAGAAGCTTCGCGACTGCTTGCGCATTGCCCGCGCTGGTGCCAGTGTCTTCCTGGCAGAACGCATGCAACCAGGTACTTGTTGATAGCATGTCGCGGATCGCGTGTCGCGGCGGCGGCCCTGGCGACACGCTGTGCCCTGCGAGCGGACAGCGGCGTCACCCCGTGCCGAGCGGCGGGAGGCTCGGGAAAGCTCGGGGCCTTGACGCTTTGGAATGGGTCGCGGCTAGCGTGCCACTCCGAAAGCGTGGTGGGCCAGAACCGGCGGAGCGACACGCCAAGCCAAAGTGGCCGTACTCGCTGCGAGGGGGGAGGTACAGAGAAAGGAGGAGACGGGGAGGGGGCCTTCCCAGCGAGAGCTTGAAATGGGGCACGAGGAACTCTGGATCGTCTCGATGAGGAGCGCGGCAAGCAGCGTGGCCGCGTTATGAAGGGCCGAGTCCGAAAGCTGGCCGCCTGCTCTAGGATCGATGGCCAAGGGCGTTGCGAAGTGGTAAAGGGTGCAAGGGTGAAACACTGTGTCCTTACTACGTCGACTTTCAAGGCGCCAGGGTCACACAAGCAATCGAGCTTGGGTGCTGACACAAACGAACACCTCACAACCTCTCTCGGTTCTGGCCCTCCTGCGGTCTATCTGGGCAGAGTGGGGGGAGCTGGCAGGGGGGAGGGAAGGGGGACGGGAGGGAGGCAAGGACACCCTCCATGCATACATACCCCTCCCCTTCCCCTCCCCCTCCCCCTCCCCCTTCCCCCTCCTCCTCCTCCTCCTCCTCCTCCTCCTCTCCTCCTCCTCCTCCTCCTACCTCCTCTCTCCCCCTCCTCCTCACCCCTCTCCAGAGGTCTGGACCCGCTTCGGGGGGCGGGCCTCTCGTCCGCCACTGCCTGGGCCAGGCAAGGGCCCCCCCCCCCCCCCCTCCCTCCTCCTCCTCCTCCTCCTCCTCCTCCTCCTCCTTCCTTCCTCCTCCTCTTCTCCTCCTCCTCCCTCCGAAAAAATTAGACAGGCGCGGCCTTTTGGCTTCGTTTTTGTTCTTTCCCGCAGCGCGCGGAAGCAGGAGACTTCCCTCCCCGTCCCCTCCCTCCTCCCCTCCCCTCCCCGCCCCCTCTCCTTCCGCCCTTCCCCTCCTCCGTCCCTCCGCGGAAGGGACGGAGGAAGGGAAATGCGGAACTTGAGCAAGGACCGACCGTCCCGGCATTCGTATAAGTCTACCGCGACATGTTCTCGGAACCCGAATAAGCTTTAAGAAGAAAGACCCGGTTCTTATACCACACACCCGATGTGTAAGAACAAGACAATCTCGGCCAGAAATGTTCTAAGAACATTTCGTGCACGCCACAAAGGGTTCCTAAGAACATCCTTTGTGGGCCTATAGGCAAACCAGGACGTTTCGCCACTGCTCGAGGGAGGGCGGGAAAGGAATGGAGTCCCTCAGTCTGAACGCGGCCAGTGCAAAAGACAGGCGGCAAGAAGCTGGAGCCCCCCTTCCTCGGCCACGGCGACGGCGACGTGCCCCAAGAGGTGCAGCACAGGCCACGTTGTCGACGTCCACTCGACTACACTCAGGGCGTCCTCGGGAATGCACGCATGCTTTTGCATACCGCTGCCTGACATCTCCTTCTCTGTCCGATTCTCCTCGCCTATCACGACCAGCCTCATCCTCATTGTCTCGCCCTGGCTCTCCTCCTCCTCCTCCTCCTCCTCCTTGCACTCGTCCTGATGCTCCTACTGCTGAAGACCCAATCAAGATATATCCACACGTGTGCACCATGCTTCTCCCTCTCCTTGCTGGCGCTCGCCGCAATCTCGGGGAGCGCCCGGACGAGCGCGATGCCGAATTTCATCCGTAGAACACCCACTGGCTGTCTTGGCGTCCGCGCAGCCCGCTGGAGGGCCAAGTCTTCGAGAAATGCGAGGGCGCGCAGGCTAAGGCGGCCGCGCGCTTCCATGCCGAGTGGGAAGCATCTCGCGCCTCCCCGGCCCCCGCCATACGTCGTGAGCTCCTCCTCCTTGTTCCTTCTTCCTTCTCCTTCCTCCGTCCGCATCCAGGGAGGGGGGCCTGGCGCATCTCGTGGGCCGCGTCCGCCCACCACTGCTTACATTCGCCTTGGGGGCAAGGGGGCGCGCGGGGCGATCCTCCACCGGTCGCAGGGCCCGGCAGGCGTCTCGCCGAACTCGCTCCACATCGGGTTGCAAGCAACCGCTCGTTCGCCCCCTAGCCTCGCCATCGCTCGGACGTCCATTCCCCGTGCGTTGTTCAGCTTCGTGCCTGCACTTCTTCGCAGGAATGTTCCAAGAGGCTTCCCGATGGTGCTCGCCGAGAACACATGCACGCGCCCGAGCGATGCCAAGCAGCAGGATGGGTTGTTCCGCAGTCGTGATGTGACATTGTCCTCCTTCCATGCAACAAGTGCAAGAACCCTTTGGAAGCAAGACTCCTCGGGAGCGGCCAAGAGGGGGGTGTCCAAGAGGGGGGGTGCAAATCATGACCGGCGGCATGTGCGCGGCCCAGCGGGGGGGCCAGGAACGTAATGAAACAAGAAGAGGCGCCATGAAAATTGGGGAAAAATCATGGCCCGCGCCATGATATCCACCCCCCCCTAGTCATCACCCCCCTCTTTTCCGCTCCCGACGAGGCCGAGCCTGCATTTTGAAGAGGCCTCCCGCTGCAAACATCCCACAAAACTCCTCCTCGTCAAAATCCGAGTCGCGGTCGTCAAAAAACGATGGCGAACCCGGGTCCTGGCAAACCCTCTTGGTCTTCCGCTCCCGACATCTGGCCGTGCCCTCGCTGGCCCCGGTCTCGAAGTGCCGATGGTGCCCCCTCTGCAGGTGCCGCCGTCGCCCTCCGGGGCGGCCTCCGGCGCCCTCTGCAGGTGCGGTCGGCGCCCCCAGAAGGCCCCCTCAAGGCTCACCGAAAGGATTCTCCAAGGGTTGTGGTAAGCTCCAAGGATTATCCAAGGATTAGCCAGGTCCAAGGATTATCCAAGGATTATCCAAGGATTCTCCAAGGATTATCCGACGAGGGTTTACAGAAAGGATTATCCAAAGATTATCCAGGTCCAAGGGTGGTGGTAAGGGCTCCAGGGGGGCGCTTGAATGCCGAATCAAACAGGCTAAACTTAGCGAATCTATATCTGAGGACATGTATCATGATAGAAACTGCCGCCTGGAGTCCGAGAACCTTTCGAGAAGGCTTCCGCGAAGACTCCGAGAGTCGACTGAGAGGAGTCCGATGGGCGACTGACAGGCTTCCCGGAGCCGTCCGATAGGCGACTGAAACGCCTCTGAGAGACGACTGTGTGACTTTTGGGAGGCGTTTGAGAGACGCCTGGGGGGCCAGCGAGGGGCTTCTGCGGGGCTTCTGGAAACAACTTCTGCGGGGCTTCCGAAAAGGTCTATGCGCGGACTCTGCGACGCTTCGGCGGAATCGTGCGAAACTTACGAGAAGGCCCCGATTGTAAAGGGCACTCCGCTGCCGCGGGCGAACACGGCCCTGACAAAAACCAGAGTTGGGAGGTCTCATCCAAGAGAGAGAGAGAGAGAGAGAATGCCGCGTGGAGTGACGCCCCCCCCCCTCCAACGTTCAGAGGCAGATGCAGCGGTACAAGCGCCGCTAGAGGAAGTGTTCTGTTTCGGGTGTCTACGGCTTATCGCTGAAATGGTCTGCCTCTGGCCTCCGATCTCCGCAAAATCTCCTCCCCACCTCCCACTCCTCCCACTCCTCCCCCCTCCGACCTCCCACCTCTTCACACCTCTCCTCACTTCCCCCTCGCCTCCTCTCCGACAACCCACTCACTGGGACATTCCCTCGGATCGTACATCGGCTCCCGGGCAGCCGTTCCAAAAACGATCTGGGCATGTCCAGAAGGCCCTCGGCGAGGCGAAGCTGCTGGAACGCCTCCCGAGGCTGGACAGCCACCGAGACACCGCGAACACGTCCAAAAACACTGCTCCTCCAGGGGCTTTCATCCTGGCAGAAGTGCGCGTCGCTTCCGACTCAGACTTGATGGGCCTGTGTTCCACCACCACCACCACCATAAGTTGGACGGGGCAAGACGGAGGAGGAGGAGGAGGAGGAGGAGGAGGAGGAGGAGGAGGAGGAGGAGGAGGAGGAGGTGCATGAGGAGGCCGCCAGCGCGTTGCGCAGCGTCATATGCGGCAGCATCGTCACCTAGGCCATTGCTGCGAAGTGGAATGGCCAGGCTGGCACTTGCCCGCACTGCGGGCTTGCCCCTGAGGACCTCGAGCGCCACCTCTGGTTGTGCCCAGCGTGGGAAGGCCCGCGCCGCGCAGCGCTCGCCGCGGCGCCGCGCACGGAGCCGTTTCCCATGAATGCCGGGGCCTTGCGGCAGCTGCTGCCCGCCAGGGTCGCCGCGACCGGGGTGCTAGCGACGCCGCCGCTGCTCGCGGCCCTTGCTGAGGCTGCAGGCAACGAGGACCCGCAGCTTCCGCCCCAAGCCGCGCTGCTCCCTGGGGCGCCCCGCCGCACGGTGTGGAGCGACGGTGCCTGCCTCCACCCAACCGACCCGCTCCTGGCTCGGACGGCGTGGGGCCTGCGGTGCGCGGGGTTCGACTCCCCGAATTCCGCCGGGCCAGTGGACGGCTTGCAGACTGCGCAGCGCGCAGAGGTGACAGCTGCCGTGGCGGCGGCGCGCGTCGTCGGCGGCCCCGTCGACCTGGCCTCGGACAGCCAGTACGTCGTGAGGTCGTGCGCGCAGATCGCAGGCGGATCCGACGTGCGGGACTGGGAACACGCCGACCTGTGGCTGCAGCTGGTGGACCCCGTGAGCACTGGGCGCCTGCGGGCCCGCTGGGTGCCAGCGCAGAAAACGCCGGCGGAGGCGCGGCGCCTTGGGGTCAGCGAGCGCGACCGCCTCGGCAACGCCGTAGCCGACGGCAACGCTGGCGCCGCCGCCGCGCAGCGGGCCCTGCCGAGCGACGCAGTGCGCGCCCGCCGCAGGGAATTCGATTCCATCAATGCGGTGGTTACGGTATCTCAGGACAAATGTGATAAGACATGCAAGGGCATCGCGGCTGTCTTGGAGCGCGACGATGCTCGCGAGCTCCGGGCCAAAGAGTTGTCGTCTGCGGCTGGTCTGGCTTCTCACTTGGGCGAGTTATATCCACAGGCAAGGCGTCGTCTACACCCTGTCTGGGCTGATCTCAACGCTGCAGGCGTGTACACGCTGTGGAGTCGCAGTCCTCAAGCTAATCCAGTGGTCCAGCTCTCTGAACTCAGCCGCAAAAACTTGGTGTGGAGTCTCCAAGCTCTGGCGTCTCCACCAAGGCGGGTGCTTCACAATCTGGCCGGGCAGCTCAGCAACTGGGGCCACAAGTCGCCAGAGCACGGCCGTTGGTCTCAGCTTGCCAAGGAAGGCTCCATTCGCGTGGTCGAAACCGACGCGGCTGGACTGACAGGCTGGTCATATCACTTATGTCATTCGGGCGTCTCTGTGTCAGGTCTGTGGCCAAGTACATTGGCCGTGGACGAAGGCATACCGCTTGAAAAGATCGACATAAACTTTAAAGAGCTCTGGGTGATTGTGAAGTGCATCGAAGATCAGCCCACCGCATTTGCAGGCTGGCGCGTCTTGTTCCGTACCGACAATACATGCGCAGTTCATTACACAAACGCGAGATATGGAGCCATCCCAACGTTGGAAAAGTTAGCAGCGAAACTGGAATCTGCTGAGCGGCGGGCCTCCTGCTGGGCTCTCGCGGCGCACATCAGCGGCGCAGCCAACAGAGCTGCGAATTTGGGCTCCCGGGATATGCAGTTCTCAGCGCGATGGAATTCCGACCCTTTTCGTACAGCATGTGTTAGGCCGCGAATTTTTGATGATATCGTGTCGCGGACGGGCGTGTGTTTCACACTGGATTTGTTTGCAGATCGTGCAGGCCTTACATCAAAGGCCCCGATTTGGCATTCGCCAGAAAATTCGGCATTCGAGGCAACTCTGGCTGGAGAGACGGTCTGGGCACACCCGCCGAGAGAGCTTCTCAGAGCAACGCTAGAGTTTCTCAACCACGCCCTCCAAGCACCGGACGCGCCCAAGATTGTTCTCCTGTGCCCCGAGGATAGAGGCGCCCCGTGGTTCCGACCACAGCTGCTTCAGGCATGGCACCGGATTCGGTCGTGGCCTGCCGGCTCGGACCTTTTCAGGTACCCTTCGGGCTCTGCGTTCTGCAGCGGCCCGAAGACTGACTTGCCTTACTTGCTACTGCAGAGCTGGGAGCCAAACAGGCGCAATCGCAAGCGCGAGGAAAATGAACGCACATCCATTAGTGTGTCTTCGGGTTCTGCTTGTGACACATGAGACGTACGTTTGTGGGCGCTGACGGCGTCAGTTCTTTGCCTGCGTTCCCCAACTTAGCCCTCTTCGGCCGCAGCCGTTTCAGGTTCCCTCTAGTGATAACAATTGCAACGCAACGACCTGTTTTCGTTCTGTCCTAGTGTTTCCCACGGCACAATGGCGGAAGCAGCGGCGCAGGCAGCCATCGCTGCCGCCCTCGAGCCGACGGGCGCCATCATGACAGCGATCACTGCCGAGATCACGAAGGCGTTCAATCAAGGGGAGGTCGGCGATCTCGCCATCGCAGCCGGCGCCACTGCTGCTGCCAACACGCACTCGGTGCCCGCTGTGGTTACGGCTCTCAAGGACCCGGCTTCTGAACTGAGCAAAGCTGTGCAGGCCGAGTGCGAGCGGCGGGCGGACGCGGCCTTTCCGTACAGGGCCCGTCTGCGCCAGCTTTCGGTCGCCGAGTGGGAAGCTGCTTGGCGCGACCTCGTGGTGGATGCGGACCACCTCGCGTCCACCTTGAAAGCTGCCGAGCAGACTCCCGCGCTTGCTAACATCTGGGCGCTGTCCGCCGCCAACCCAGGCAACGCCGAGTTGGCCGAGCTCAAGCGGGCTTCCACGGTGCGCTATGCCGCCAAGTTGCGGTGGAAAAGCTTGTGTTTCCCGGAGCAAGGCGGCTCTTGGGACCGGTTGAAGAACTACCTTACGGAGAAAGCGGATGCTCCGATCGACAATGTGAAGGCGCTCGCCCGGTCGCTCCTTGTCCTCCTCAACTTGACGGAGCGCCGCTGCACAGTCGTGCAG